ATTATTTTTTGAAGAAAACAGCAAAAAACATTTACGGGTTTTTCTTTTGCAGGCTAATATTTTCTGACCATTTATGATGCTTCTTTGACTCCACATGTTGATTTTTACACTTTTACGAAGAAATCCTGCGTTCGTTCAGGCTGCTGTCTGTTACTTAAATACAATAAAATAAAAGCTATCCGGGTCTTTCAAGTAGTACGAACACTGCCGCACTAATTTGCTACCAAAAATGAATCAAATTCGAGGGAGAGGGTTATCCGGTTTATGTCCCCATTATCCGGCTTAGCATTTCCAACTGTTTCATCCCTTAGCTGTAAATGCAGGAAAAAGAAATGCGTTTAGGTAGGATCGGATGTCATCAAGAAAATCTCCCAGGTATCTACCTATAGTGTTACTCCTTCAGCACAATTGCGGATTCTTGATCATATCGTCGAAAAGTTGCTAACTATGAGCGCTCCATCAAGTCAGTTCCTTGCTGACAGGCCAATTCCCATACAAACCAAGCCAATGCTAATTTAAGCAAACCATACCAAAACACCAATAAAACTTTGTTTTTCTGCTGGACCTGTCTGTCTCATTCTTTATGGATTTATTACCAACAAAGTGGCAAACAAGAATGCGCATACATAGAAAGCAAAATAAAAATTTGCATAAGCACAACAAACATTCAATGAAATCTGCATACCTCTCTTGTTGCGACAGTACCACGGTACACGTACTGATTTCTACGACAGGTGTGATGAAACATGTAGTCTGGAAAAAAAAGTCCACCAAAATTTTTTTTTATAAAAGCACTCAAACATCTCTTGACTGAATTCGCATCCTATTTTGAAATGAATTTATCAGAAATCAGAATTTCTTGAGGACTCCAAAAAAAAAAGAAAAAATGGAAACTATCGCTAAATTCGTTTTATTTACATGAATCACTGAGATCAATTCCAAGTTTGGTCAATTTTTTTTCCTCAGTCGCTATCGGATTCCACTATAAGCTTTGGCCGCTTTCGTTTCACCGTTCTGCTCTCATCCTGAAAGTGGGGAAACTCCTGCAAATTAATGTGGCACGGCATTGGCTTTTTCAGGCTCAGGTATTCAAATAAATCGCATGGTGCTTCTGAAATTTATCCTGAAGCAACCCAAAAGCTTCCGTCTTCCCCAGGTGGTCCTGACAAATTTGAGTAGTGCTGAAAGCAGCGAATTTTTCTTGCTACACTCAGCTGTTTTTATGTCCCAAAAGTATTTCTGTCCTTCAGTGCGCTCCAAACTTCTGTCTAAGAAAAGAGCAACAGTCACAAAAGGTACCATGGCAGATGCAACCATTCTTAAGCCTTGCTATTTTGAGTCAATTTTCTAAAAAAGAAAAAAAAAGAACATCGTGAAAGAAAGACATACGTCGCTGAAGTCGGTTATTTTCTTCAGTGGTTTTGATCGACGCAACGAACGCGCACTTTGGGTGCTGTCGTCGCTCAGTATTTCCATCACAGCAAAAAGTTCACTGTACCGTATTCGAAGAGACGAAACCTGAGATGCAGTCAACAGCGGTCAATAAGTATGCCAGACGACTGCCAGGAAAAATGTCACGAAAAATTATTATCTCGGGAACCACGCAAGCTGCGGTCTGATGCTTTTGTGCATGTCCGCTACCAACGTACGACCCCGCAAATTTGGTTTTGAGCTTTGGTTTTATTCCCTTTTTACGGTTTTATTTCCTTTTCCACCAGGAGCTGAGTGCCATTTTTGTCTGTAGAAATGTTAAATGATGTTCAGACGGGCCATGAAACGCTAATTCTCGCTGCAAAAAAATGAGCTTCAGCAAAGTTAAGCCAAATATGCAACCTTTTCTGCAGCCCTCGCTGTCGTGAATGCTTCCTGGAGAACTGGGCGAGCCAGAAATGCTTCGGCAACATGACTGTCTTTTGATAAGCAACTCTGTCGAAATTTATCAAGATGCGCAAATAGTTGATCCAAACATACATACCTGTAAATTACATGTACAAATTCACAATCCAATGCCAACGAATGCTATCAAAAATGAAAACCGTTTCCCCATTCAATTGCTCTGCAAGAATTAGAAAGTAGCCCGAATGATGCTGCCAAAGTGTTAACAGGAAGTACGTAGCTGATAAAACAACTATCGACAGCTTTTTCTTTCGAAAATGCAAGAAAGCGAGCTCAGGGCTTTATGAATGTCAAATTCGGATCATGTCCCGATAATCCCACTTAGAATATTCAATACCAATAAAACCAAAAACCAATTCCCGTCTTCGTTCTACAAAAACAAGAAGCACACGTATTCAGAAAGCAGCTGTGAAGGGTAGCAGT